GTTTTATACCTAGACATCAACCCATTTTTCTCAATAGTTTCACTGCGGTTGGCTATGTGGTAATTTGTAGGCAGGGGAGGGTGCCCCTCTAACCAAGGCAACCTGACCTCATGTCTACCCTCTCCATGCATTCACTATTACTGTCTTACAAAACAACTCTTGCTGCTAGGACTTTTTCAATTTTCGTTTTTCTCTCTGTAGGTTCTTCTATCCCTAACATATCAAGTAGCCACAGTTCTGTTATTGAAGGGTTCGTAAACATCGATATTACAGTCATAGTTGTCGAATTCAGTGTAGGAACTTTGCCTTCGACAGTCCAACCAACATAAGTTTCATTTGCCACCAGTCCACATTTTAACAGATGTCTTTTCCCCGTGTACAAAGACCTAATTACATCTGCTCACAACAACATCTCAATTGGACCTTGACTTTTGTAATCGGAAACTTCCACGTTAAGTACTTTTAGTTCTTGTATCCAAGGTCCATAAAATACTGGTGAAACCTCATTACAAATCTTAGCCTGATCTAGAACTTCAAACGTTTTCCTGTAATTCCCTTTGGAAATTGTGATATCATAACAATAATGCACTTGTTCCATCTCTGTTCCTCCAAAAAGGCAATGTACAATTTTTTCTGCTCTCTTGGGTTTCAGACTGAGTGACGATACAATGGACTTCAAAATGTACGAGCGCTGTGAACCTGTGTCAATAAGTGCTCTCACACTTTCCATGCCTGATTGACCTTTAACCTTAAAATTTACAGTTTGTAGAAACACGTAAGAACTTGTTTGATTGGACATCGCCTGATCCCTTTTAACATTATCTTGCTCGCTCGAACTCTCCTTTTGCTGTGGAGATGTTACCTTTTCAGCTAAACCTAAACACATCAGTGGTACATGCGAATATCCGCAAACATTTTTTAGACATATGCCCTGCCTTTAAACACTTAAAACAAGCTCCTTTTTCTAATACAATACGTTTGCGCTCTTCTAGTGTCATCTTTTGTGCCTTAAAACATTTGTCACTCTCGTGAACACCGGTACAAAATATACATTTGACAACATCGACATTTACTAAACCCTCCGCAGTAAAGGTCGAATCGTTTAACAATTTAGGCGCATTTCTTTTATTAGATTGGTTAGCCGTACCGGACCTTGTTTTAAAATTATCAGCTAAACCGAAACCCTCGCTTGCTAAGTCTATCCGTTGTTCATTTTCGACTTCAGCTCGTAGAAAACTTAAAAGGTTTCCAAGCCTAACTTCTAATGGAGAGTCACCTACGGATGCTGCGTGTTCATTGTCACTCGCGCTATTATTTGTACCCGAACCACGCGAATTAAAAGCCGATCTTTGCCATATTCGTAAAAGTTCTTGTGGCAAACAAGATTCAATCAACGGAAACAAAAGCGCTGCGTACTTATCTGACGTAATCCCCAACGTGTCCAGCGCCCTTAACTGAGTCTCAATCAGATCGTACAATTTCGACAAATCCTGCTTTTCATTTGATACGGCGTTATTTAAAACCAATTTTAACAATTCGCGCACGTATACTTCAATTTGTAGGTGATCAGGCCTGAATCTCGCAGTCAAACAGTCAATAATCTTTTCATAATTCTCATCGAGCACGGGAAAACTTTCTACAATCTGTCGCGCACGACTTCCCGCAACTGTAGCCTGTATCAAATAGTCTATCTTATCGCAATTATCCAACTGAGTATCAGCATGAATTTTCCTGAACTGAGACCAGAACGGTAACCAGTGTTTAATATTTCCATCGTACTGCTTGAACTGAATAGCAAGTAACTTAAACTTTCTCTTACCTCGTACGACGTCATCATAACCTACTTGACTACCAGAAGTTTGCACTGACCCTTTCACTGACCCAGCATCCTCTACAGGTTCCAACAGCTTGTCAACTTTTAACTTCAGTGTGGTGAACTTCTTCGTATAGCCTTCACATTGTTCAATGTCTAACAACAGTTGTTCTCAGTCGCTTGTGCCTCCAACAACAACAAATTATACACTTCAGAATTCATCGCGCTGAGTTCATCAAACTTAGGCTTTACGCATTCCCAGGCAACCTCTATGTCCTCCAGCACGATAAGACTTTTCGTTAACAGTGTCTAATTCGTTCAATGATTTTGTAACAAAAGATCGGAGTACTTTCCTATGATTTTTCTTAGACTCCATTGAATCAGCCATAATACCTCTTCCTCGCAATTGATTATATTTACTGTTATAGGTAGAACGTTTTGACACCGCTTTCGCCGACTTGTAACCGCCTGCAAAGTCCTGTCACGGTCGCCACAAACTATGTCAAGTCACTCTCTTTGCAAGTCACTCTCTTCTTACCATTGGACAAACTACCCGTCTGTCCCGGCCTAAACACAGGGCTAATCACAAACGGCAGATATATAAAAATGAAAAAACTTATGACTTTTTAGAATCTCTCTAATCTGACAACTGACAATAACTTACTTGATAGGTATCTGATTAAACATAGCAAGAAATTATAAAATTATAACAAGTAACATAAAAATTTTAAGCAAATACAGAAATCAAGTGTGGACCAAATAGCTACATCAATGGTATTAGAAGGGTCTGTAGTTCTTATAGGTAAGCAAACTTTTAGACAAAATTTTCCATTTTAAACATGAAGGGCCTATCTCAGAAGTTAAGGAATATAAGACAGAAAACATTTACCTCAGAACAGAAAAAAGCAAAGGAGCTATATGGGTCAAAGAGAGCAATAGAGTTGAAGGCAGTAGGAAGACTGAAATATTGTCGGTACCTTTTACTCTGGAACCATCATGTAATAGAATAGCATCTAGTCCAATAAGACTGTCAAAATGCAAGCCAAAATATATTGAGTCATAACGAAAGTAGATCAAACCATTTCCCTACATTATTTCAGGAAGCCCAACAAAATAGATTCTAATCTAAACTTGGGTGTACATCTAAGTATGAACAGTTATGAGGCAAGGGGCAAAAACCTATACGAATTCACAAATTTGGACATTTTTCTGCCCCATAGACCTTAAAGAAGGCTCTACCACGACCCGTGTTTGATGCTTCTTCTCATGGAAAAGATGAGCCATCGCTGAACCAATGTTTGGAGAAGGGGGAAAATTTGATTGAGCTGATACCTGCGGTGTTGGTCAGATTTAGAGAATATGCGATCTGTGTAATAGCTGACATAAAACAGGCGTTTCTGCAGATAAGTGTGAAACCGAGAGACCGTCAGTTTTTGAAATTCTTGTGGATTAATGAGAAAGGTGAGGAAATAGTTTACATACACAACAGAGTAGTCTTCGGAGTAATAGTCCTGTAGCCAGAGGGGTCCCAATTGCCTCCTTCATTTAGATGGAGTTACCCACGTGTTTTTTATGTATTTTGAGCTGCAGAACACGAATTTTTTGGGTAGAAGTTTGCCCGGATGTCGATAAGTTTTTTATTAACAAAAAAATTGTAAAATACTGAACACTTAGTTTTTGGCAAAATAAAAAGTACTTTCTTATTACTTGACCCATTTTAAGAAGAAAATGTCTCTTGCAATTTTTTTGTTAAACGCATAATTTTCGAGATAAACGCCGTTAAAAACTCGAAAAATGCGATTTTTGCGATTTTCAATTGTTAATAACTTTTGATTGAATAGGTATTTTGTAATTTTGCTGACAGCGTTTGGAAGTTCACGTTAAATACTACAAATTATGAGTAATTGCAGTGTGAAAATTTGTTTTTTCCACTGTTATTTGAAGCTATAAACAAATAGCTATTGAGCGTTCAGAAGGGTGCGCTGCCATGTATGTAAGAGAGCGGTTGCCTTCTTACAGGCGTTTAATACACGATCTTTACGCGTACTCTTCATTTCTAGACCAAAGAACTTTTCTCCTTTTTCATTTTAAAAAATGTAATTTTTGAATCATTTTTTTATCAATTGTTGTTTATATTAGAGTAATTGTTGTTTATTTTGTGTATACTGGTTTTTATGATTCTTATTAATAATTAGTAAACCAATGTTTGTGTTATTATTTAATTTTGTTTCCCATTGGGTTTTATTCGGTTTTTATAAAAGAATAGGTTCACCGGCAACGGCAAACACTGGTGATGCCGATATTGTTATAACTTTTTTAGGGGCAAACTTTTTTTCGCAAAAATTGGTACAAATGCATTTGAGGGGTTCCTAAATCCAGTGGTGTAGTCTGATTTTTTATAAAAAAATCGCTAACAAAATTTTGCTATTTTTCACTTAAAAAAAATCGTAGTAGGCTTTGAAAATCAAAATTTCGTCTTCAAATTTTGCATCAAGATAGAGCTTTTGGAGATCTATCTTTAAAAAAAAACTAGTTCAAATCGGTCCATAAACAACTTTTGTATCCATTCTTAATGGGTCACCCTGTATATCTGCCGTTTGTGATTAGCCCTGTGTTTAGGCCGGGACAGACGGGTAGTTTGTCCAACGGTAAGAAGAGAGTGACTTGCAAAGAGAGTGACTTGACATTACTCATTAAATTCTTGATCTAGTATTTCATCTACGGACTTGTTTATTTTTGTGAATTAAAATACTTTTATTTTCTGTTCAGATAAATTTATTATTAGTGTCAAAGGTTAGGTGCATTTTAATTTTTATTGTGTGTTTTGTAAAGCTATTTAATAATCCATAAATAATGCCATATCATGTATGGATGTGGCAATGGTAATTGATGTCTAGCTCATCATGTGTATGCTGTGGCTTATCTTTCTGGCTTAATTGTCCACTATATTCACCAGATTTCATTTGCAAAAAATATGGTCTAATATTTGTAATAATTTCAAATGATAGCAGTTAGAACAAAAATATGTAGCAGCTGACAGACTAGTCAAGTGTTACCAAATATTTAAAATCTGTGACATTTGTAACTACAAATTTTAAACTGTATTTTCTTATAGGGTAAAAGGATACGGTCGATCTGATGACAATAATTATTGTATTGTTGCTAAATTTTTATTTATAATAGGGAACTTAATTTTTGTTAACAAAACATTTAAACATATTTTAATTATTTTAAAGGAAATTTTTATTATAATTATAGTGATATAAAGTTCGTGGGCTTATTTCCAATAGTAAGACAGTTAAAAAGTGAGCATAACGTGTTTAACACTGGGCACATGGTATGCTCTTTTGGATACACATCTCTTATTGCAGATGGACCCGTCAAATTTTATATCAATAACCGTAATAGTAAAAAAGGTTTATTTTAAATAATATACAGTGTTCCACCAAAAAATTAACAGTTTCCTGTTATATCTTAATTGTTATATGGAGCATGTCATTAAAAAACACCCTGTACACTTATTCTACACTCTAATCGACGAAATATTTGAATTTAAGCTGAACTTAAAGAGATCGGAAGAGCACTGAACTGCATCCTGAATGGTAGGAAACAAACGAAGAGACGGATTTGTTATACAAATTAAATTACACTTCTTCATCATATTGTACACTGGATCTGAAAATGGAATCAAATTAGTTACTAATACAAAACAAAAGTTTCTAATCCTTGAAGTACAAATTGTAAAGAACGAAATACACATTCTTCATCTATACCTCCTAGAATTTCAAATTAGATACGTATGAATGCAGGGTGTTAGGGAAATAACTTTTGTAAATTATTTATGTACATCATTTTATATGTTTGGTAGTAACTACAAACTAGTTAGTGAAATAAACATTAGAAAGAGCGATCTCACTTAATTAAATTTCTACAAAACTATTTATGTTCAAATTTATAAACGAAATCTATCATGTTCAATGCTATGATTTTTTTTTGTTAGTTTTATTCTCAGGATCTTAGGCGCAAGTTTCCTTGAAGCAGCCACTCACTTTTTTATATGATCTTCCAGATTCTTCATAAAGTGTTCTCTAAAGTAACTCTTTACTTTATATTATTGCATTATTTCTCGTTTTATAACGAAATGAGTTCCTTAAAAAACTGCCACATAATTATTTGGCATTTACAAACTTTGATAAGAAAAGAGCAATGACAATACAAACAGTATTTACTATGAGTGGCAACTAGAAATATAAATTTAAGATATTTTTTATGCAATTATCACATCCCCTTTACGAAAGTTAGTTCTTTAAGACCCTGAATAAAATTTGTACATTTTTAATAAAAGTGAAATATGTAAATACGTAATCCGAATTCCGAAGTTCTTTTTTAGTAAATACTAAAAATTATTGTTGAATTAATTAATTTTTGTTTTTTACTTACCTGAACACGCCGCAATGTACACAGGAATATCTAATTTCTGAAAACTCTCAATAACATTCTTTAGCATGGATACACCAGATGGATCTATATAACTGACTGAAGAGAAATCCATAATTAGACATCTCAAATGCGTATTTATTTTCTTTTGCAATTTTAAAATTTTTTCTTTATTTGCTTTAGATTTTCCATCTACATCTTCATCCTATAATGGGTAATGAAATAGATAATACAACCGAGAAATTAAAAATTATATAAATTATAAAAAATATAAAATTCTTTCAAGTTTTGTTATACTTATTTTTCCTTATAATTATCTATTACATAAGTATGTTGTATACAAAAAATCAGTTAAATGTTATTTTCTTCGTGTAAATTGCGTATAAACAGAATCTCCATGAAGATAGCAGATACCCTCGACCTTAAAACATAAACCATCTCCAAAATGAACTTAATGTTTAGTACTTATTTCGTTTTTGTTTTGCGTTTGTGAGCAAAAAATCGAAACAGTGGACACTCAAACTCGCATAACTTGAGTATTTCATTTGAAAAGTGTCGATGATACCCAAAAATTAGCAAATAACAGCTGGAGCAACGGAACGCCACCTCCATAATTAATGCTATGGTTGCCTATTTTCTCTCAAACTCTTCCTTCCAAATGCAATTAGAATCAGAAAAAATATTTGCTATTTAAATCTATTTGCATTTTTATTTTTATTTCTGGCGATTTCTAACTCGAGCACAAACAAAATACTAACCGTGATGTAAACGATATTGTATTTCATTTTCGAGCGTGAAGTTATCAGACATTTTTCAAATGTTTATTGCTGGCACTTTAATGGCAACTTTAGACTCATTTTCTTGCTTGAACCATTTTGTAAAACGAGTACCTAGGTATTAGAAACTCATAACATACAGCATAGGGTATTTTTAAAATGAGGTTATAACAACGTATTACAACAGTGCTGAGGGTTTAGATTGTATATCTTTTCGAAGTTAAAACAGAGAAGTCCAGGAATTATATTTGCGAAAAGGAAGTTAAGGAAACAGATAAAATTGTTAGCGATCACTACTAACTCTATGGCAACTTCAGAGATTTTGCTCATAATAAATATAATTTAAATAACAAAATTAATTAAATTATGAAAATTTCTTTGTAATTCCTGTGGTGCTCCATAACCTTAGATGTTACGATGCTTATTTCGTAATAAGAGACTTAGCAGGGAGGGTATATTAGTTTCACAGTTATGAAGCTTAATTGAGCTTTAAATCTATAGACTCCTTTAGATTCATGGGTTGTTCTCTAGAAGAACTAGCTTCCACACTGAAAGGTGAAAACTGAAAACTTTAAATGCTAATTTCAGAATTTAGATGAGGAAGATTTCATTATGCATATTCTTTTAACAGTATCGAACAACCCGATGAAATAAAACGACCCGATATAAAACGCTTTTACAAGAAGTTAAATAATAAGTGTAGTACCTCTACATCCTTATGTATGACGATTAATTATTCTTATTATGATACATTGGGAAGCAAGTACGACAACATAAACACAAGTTAAGTAATACATAATCGAATGACAAATGATTAATGCATGCAAGAAATGATTAAAATGTAGTTTTTCAATTTAATGAATCATGGTTTATGTGCGTAATTAAATATGATGTAATACTTAATATTATTATTAACTATGTATTTTAATAGACGAGCAAATGAACAAAATTAAATTACTTAAAATTTATTTAAACTCAAAATAAAGCAAAAAATAAATAAATACAATAAACAAAATATAGAGAGTGGGCAACGGAACAATAAGAACATAGAATAGGCTGATGCGCAAAGCGTTTAGAAGAAATTCGATTTGGGAACTTTAGGTGACTAGTAGCTTTTATATGAAAATCGATACAATGCTTTTAATTTGTTTCCGAAACTTTTACTAATACTTGCTACAAGACATATAGCCTTGATCCCGCCCACTATTATACCATTCTAGGATTTGCGTCGGATGGTATGCTCAAATATACAAGGCTAGAAACTATTCAAGATTTACATCAATGTTTATTGAGCGAAGTATTCAAAGTAGTATAGAATAATACTGGATATATTCAGGCACAACATGCTTTCAGACAAAGCTCAAGCAATTAGAATAACTAATGGGCAATTTACCAAATACTCGAACTCTGTGTAGGTGATCGAACAAGGAAAAAATTTAATATAACTATACTCGACGGCCAAAATTATAGATAGCTCTTGGACTAGTAAGGGGGATGAAGCATGCCGGGAACGAAAATCCATTGGCGTGTCTGCGTAAAAGGCAACAAGATATAGAAAATATTGAAAAAAACATAACATCTAATATTTTTTACGGTTTGCTATAACCGGCACTTTGATCAATTTTTATTGCAGCATTTTAAAACGTCCCAGTTGTGTTTTTTTAATTTATAAATTTATTATAGCCATGAAATTAGACCCCTCGTCTACGCTTATGCTATGAAGTTTCTCAGGTCGGACAAATCAAGTCCGTTTACACCCACTAAAAAAGCATTTCCCTATTCCCTACCAAGTGCAAAAGACAGAGATAAAATATAGATCGACGTTCAGTGTAACTCAGTCTATACACGATTATAGATTCTACCGATGTGCATGGCGAGCGGCACAAAGATAAATAATAATGAACCGTATAGAAATCATTTTATATTTTATACGCATTATGGTAATAGTGTTTTTATATTATGTATTAGTCACTCTTTATAATTTCGGCCGCCGAGTATAAGCCGCATAATTATCTGTTCGTCTGGCTTTCAACAAAGGCTATTCATCTAGAGATTGTCAGTGATTTAAATGCCACATCATTTTTCGCTGCGGCATGGTAAATGCACAAATATTCAGATAATGCGAAATCTTTCATTGGTGCTGATATTGAAATTCAGACATTTTAAAAACCAGGTTAAGGCATACTTTTAACTGAACTAGAACTGCAAATTTAAGGCGTATGGGAATGTGGGCTCAAATCAACTAAATACCATTTAAAACGTGCCATTGGAGACTATTAGTCTTCATTAAAGATCATTTACTACATCTCCAGTGAAATCTAGGTTGTATTGTTCCGCTACATCATAAAAATTATGAAATTACGGAGGGTTGTGCCAGTGCAAAAACTAGTGCAATGTATAAAAAACCAAATATATGTGTTTTACTGACTAATGTTAATTTTGAAAATTTTAAAACTAAACCCTTCAGTGAAAGCTGCATGTTGCAGATCACTACAATGTATTACCATTATGGGTTTATAACAAATGTATTTAAATTTTACTTTTGTTTTTTTGTTCACTGCTAGGAGAGTCAGTATATTAAATGACCCTGAGGATGACACATCGCTCCCGTATTTCAAAATCATAAAATCTGTATATTCACATAACTCAAATTCAACTATATTATATTTAATAATAAATTCGTTACAGTGGTTGGTTCTTCAGATTCTCTGGATTGAAAACTACATTTTGACATTTTCGCCTGGCTGGAAATCTCCCAGATACGAGCGTAAAAGTTGTTTTTAATTAAATTAATATATTTGTTCTAAATAAGTTTAAGTATTATCTGATTATTAATTTTAACGAATACATGATGAAGAGTTTCAAAATGCGAAATTCAATGCATCATTAAAAATGACGTAACTCAAAACGGTGTATCTCAGTACTGACACTAAAATCCATTTTTCTGCAAAACCTTTGAAATTTCAAATATTCTATAAAATTTTGAAAAAATAGCCACGCGAAAAATATGACTGCCCTATTTTAACCATAGACCTTATAAATTATAAAGTCTACGGTTTTAAACCCACCTGTGATGATTTTTTATCATTAATTGTCACTGTAAATCAATCAAAATGTATCCCGATTCTACTAGAAAAAATATTGTTGAAAAATTAGAGCCAGTTCTTACAATTTCTTCATGTATTTATTGGTATCGATAAATTGACGAGAATTTTATTAACTCAATGTGAAAAAATGTGTCAATTTCTTTTACTGTAAAACTACTACTAAGAAGATTATTCTCTATTTCATTTTAGCTCCATTGTGATCTTACACAGTGTTTCTGTTGTCTTTAAAATGAAGTTAATTTGTAACTACTTTATTTTTTTGTAAAAATTAGTGGTGGCGGATATACCTATCTATAGCATGAGAAGTAATTAAAAGGACTAAGTATTATAAGATTTTTGATTTGAAGGGAACCTCTTAAGAAATATCGTTAATGGAAATTATAGAATTAAGTGCTAATTTAAATTATTTGTTTTTTCTTCTTTTAAAAGTTAAAACCGATAATATAAAATGAAGTTTTTAATAAACAGGGTACCTGAACTAAAAGCAAAATGGTGGATACCTACCGAGAATGAAAGGACAAATAATATATCTAGTTATTTTTGTAGAACTTCTCCGTCTATTAGATAATATATTTTATGGAAAGAGATTTAATACCTACACACATTTATACGAATCACTTACCCTATTTATATATTCTGCAAGTTTTGAACGATAAATTATTTCTTTCTGCGGATTGATTTCAACCAAGCACATTATATCTTTCTTGAATATATTTCTAGTAGCAAAATTTATACCTCCACAGTAATGAAATATTTTGATTCCGTCTATTTGTTTGGTCTGAAACAACATAAAATATTTATATTTTAAATTTAAATTCAGTTGTAATCTTAGTTATTTCGGAGATTATATTTGGTATAGCATTAGAATTGTTTTTCAATAATTACGTACCAAAATACAAAAACAAATTAATCTAAACATGAATATAATAAAACATGTATAAACAGTAATTAGACAAGTTGATTTGATTAAATATATACATACCCCTTTATACCTGTTAATGTCTAGATAGAGATCAGTCTTTGGAACTGCTCCTAAAAGGCAGGTATACGGTCTAAATCCCAATATAAAAATAGAAATCAAGGACATTACTATTCCAATTAACAATCCAATATCTATATTGACAAAAACAACTGCAAGAAATGTAACTAGCCAAACAGCAGCATCCATTCTACTTAGTTTCCAAAATTTCCAAATTGCTGTAATTTGTAAGAGCATGCCCTTTAGTGCGACTACTATTACACCAGCCAATACGCTCTAAAAATGTTCAGTGTCGGTCAGTTAATTATTGCTTTGTGGTCGAAAACATTGAAGAATATTAATTAAGCACCCTTTAAGTTTTCGTATTTTCGGAACTATTAAAAAGTATAATGAATGAAGAATTAAGTTTTAAAACATCAGTTGATGTAAAAATAATTTTTATAATATTTAAATTCATTTAAAACTTACACAGTCATAGATATATTTTTAAATAAACAAGATTTTAAAATTCAGTTATACAAGTATGGTTATGAGTCCATAGATATAACATATTTCATAAGCCCTTGATTTTTACAACTGAGTCTTGCCAAATTACCTCTGTTGTAGATGGTTTTCTAAGGACGCGGTCTATCTTATTGCATAGGGTGTAGGCGAGGTACGATATTAGAGAAAGTATAGGCCCTAGAGCTTCGGGAGCTACATTTTGACGCCAAAAACGGTTCGATATATTTTTTTGTTATCAAGTTATTCGCAAAATAGTGAGCAAAAAATAAATAATGATAATGAATTGAGGAGCATGACGACAACGAAAAGATATTTAATTACCAAAACAAAATGCGTTTATAAAAGAACCCACCTAAACACGCAGCGAAGCTTAAATTCCTGCATTGGAAGTTATAAACATCTTTACTTTTGTTAAAATTTAATTGTTCTTTACATAATATCAATATATGTTTGTTAATGTGTTTGTTATTATTTTCAAAATTCTTATTGACTCACTCATTTGCGTGGCTTTAGGTAGGTTCTTTTATAAACGCATTTTGTTTGTCAATTCATTATCATTAGTTATTTTTTGCTCACTAATTTGTGAATAACTTGATAACAAAAAAGATTTTTATGCTCTTCAAACTAACCTACAAAAAAAGTTTTATCCTGCTTTTCACTTTTTTAAGAAAACGTGAAACAACCTAAACTTGGATAAATAGCGCCAATAAATAAACAACACTTCCATTAGAAATTTCAAAATTATACTATACTCATAAATTTTTTGTGCTGAATTCATTTATGTGAAAATGCATTTAAAATTTTTGAGAAAAATCCATAAAACAGCATTCTTTTGAAATAAAGCCATCTACAGGTTTCCATATTGAGGTAAATGACATTACGCATTCACCAAGACATAAAGCATGAAAAAACCTTTCCAACGAGGTATAACACTGTGCGCTTTTGATGAGCCAATCCTTAAAGACTTGCCCCACCCTTTCTGTCGAGAGACAGACAAAATGTCAAAAATGAATTCATATTTGTACTATTTAATGTACCTGAATGAAAAATTCAACTCTATGTTTTGGTATGTAGATTGCGCCCCCTAGCGGCCGAGCTATAAACTTGAAAACTATTTCCAGCGATTTCCCTTGGTCAATTTATTAATCAAAATTTTTTTACCGAAGTTCTAGGACCTATACTTTCCCTAATATCGTACCTCGCCGACCTTAGTAGTACACCCTGTATATCCTTGTACACATATAGGTAAGATAGGTTGCTGCATATATTTCTCCTTGCCCTTATTCTTACATGACCTACTGATGGCTTTTTTAAATTTCTGTTAGTGTACAGGTTCATTTCCTCTAAAAGCTGATCGAATGTGATGTAGTTCAGATATTGTCTGGTTACTTATTTGTGGCACAATTTTTGTTTTTTTTTCTTTATTTTTTTGGGTATTTTTATTATTTATTTAATTAATTATTTTTTCCTCAGGTGGCAATATCCAATAAATAAAGAAATAAAAAAGACGTACTTCTGTTCCAAGCGTTCTATCTCTATACAGCCAAAACGCAAGGAACTACATCAGCTCTCAAAGAAAATACATATACAGGGCGTTTCAGTTCGAGTGAATCAAACTTTAACCACAAATAAAACTCAATAAATAATTCAGAATTATTTTATAAAGTAAGGGTCTAAGTCTCACCGTTTTCACTGCACAGGGCCGTATTGGTTGTTTGTTAAAATCATATCATTTACGAAATCTTTGTTACGCTATTAACAAATTGATACAAATTTGGTGTGGAGTTAACATTTACGCAAGTGCATAATTTATTGTAAAATAATTTATTTTTTTAGGTCAGTGGCGTAGGAATGAGGGATTTATTTTCCCAACTTCTATGCCAATGACCTAATAATCATTTGGAATTCATTTTTAGATTCCATGGACAATTCTACATAAAAAAGGTATACTTGTTGAAAATCGGTATAGTGTATCGTTTTACCGAAAATCTCAGTTGAATGGGAGACGGTTCTTCTGATAATTTAGTTTCTTAAGGATAGGAAATAAATTTTAAATTAATATTATTATAATGTTACCTTAGAATTCAAAACAATATTAAATAATATGTCCTTACGTAGACGAAACGACTGGTAAATTCTAAATACTATAATCCCTTGTATATTATTTATTTCATTCGTGATGTGGTGAATTCCCCCTCTGAGCTCATTTTTTAGTTGCGCTACAGTCCGGTGGACAACATATTCAATGGCACCTCCTCTAAAATTTCATTTGTACCATTCTGGAGCAATTATAGGTATCCTTGCTCATTCAACGGTCCGTTTGTTTCAGATATAATTTCTTTAAAAAGTTACACCTACACATAAAATTTTATGTATTTAATCATATTAAATATCAACAAAATATTTAAAGAATCCCAATGTACTCGCGTTAAAATAAATCTAGGAGCTTATATTATTATTTATTGCGACGCGAGCTACGCTCCTTAACATATGCAACCTCATATACAAAATGTGTGCATAGCGAACAGTTAGATGTGTCCTTTGTTTTTATTGGCTAATCAGGCACGTGACCCAGTATACGAAGATATGGGCTTTCGCGGCTGCAACAGCGACAGCCACTGCTGCAGTAATATTTCGTACGTGGTATGTGGTGGTTTATTTCTGCGAGCGGCACGTGTGAATATTTTCGTTTAGGCGTCTACGGATATTATAGTTATTAAAATGAATAGCGTTTCGTTTAAAAAAAAACTTTATTTGGTTCTCTGCCTTATGAGGATAAACTAAAAATAAAAGAAGTAAAAGTTATAAAAAAACAATAATGTATACACAAAAGCAGAGTGGGTGTGCGGGTGTGATTTAAAATATTCACTGTTTTGTTTTCCGTGCTTACTTTTCGGTGGGGATAAAGCATGGACAATATACAGTGTGAAAGATTTAAGTCATTAAGTCTTTAGGTAAAATAAACATAAGAAGTCAGTTAGATTCTGCATATTGGGATAATATACGGAAACATATGAACAGGTAATGAAAAATCGTCATGTATTATTTAAAATCATAGATTGCATAAAATTTTGCGGAGCTTTCGAATTAGCACTTCTCGGACACGACGAGACAGAAAATTCGGACAACCCTGATGTGTTTCGTGGACTCATAAATTTTAGTGTAGATCTTGACGACATTTTAAAAGAACATCTAGCCACATTGGTATGACCGGGATTTTCTGTGATTGTACCGGGAATTAGCTGTATGGTCCCGGATTTCGGATTTGCACGTATAACTCCCGGAATATAATATAATGTACATATATATAAAAAAAGATAAAGAAAAAATCATAACACGCCGAGGAAAATTAAAATTCGTTGAATCGTTGGTAAATTTCACAAACGATTTTTTTTTATAAACAATATTCAATAATTTAATAAAATATATTTAGTTTATTCCAATTTATTATACCATCAGTAGGTAATTCGTAAATGGATATTTCAAAAAGGTATCAATTTCAAAAATCATTCTTGTGAAAATCTGTATTTTTTTTATAAATTCATTGTTCCTTGAAATTCAGAAGTGCCAGGAAAACGCGTGACCTTGAAAATTTTAAAATTTTTCGCCTGCGGCGCCATTTAGAGACTCCGGGCACTTAATATCCCGGAATTCAATTCAACAAATGTAACAACCCTAAGCACAACACATTCAATCAATGTTCACGCGCCGCTACTGCATCTACATATTAATTTAATCTGTGCTATGCGTCCATTACAGTGTCCGCACACAAACATTGCTATGAAAAAACAGCTAAGCAATAATAGACTTATCTGTCATCAGGAACTATAATTTTATTTTAAAGATTTGAAATATTAGTTAATGTTTGTAAAAAAATAGATGGATATTCAATATGATAACAAATTACACAGCCACACACACAAAAAAAGGTCTGAAAGATAAAAAGTACTGGGAAAAATACAATTTTTTTTTCCTATTTTCAAATGTTCATTTATATGGAGACTTCGCCGAACGTGAATTCGCGGTCAGAGTTGAGGTTTCTCTTTCTAACCTCAAAAAATCGGGTCAATTAGGTAAGTTCACAAATTTTCAAAAAATAACAGATTCGTTCCAAATTTGGTATACGGGGGTTTTCGAGGTCGCTGATCACGGATCCAAGGTAAATTTTGCAAAATTCACGATGGCGGATCCAATATGGCCAACCAAATTTTCAAAAAATAACATTCGCGCCACATTTGATATAGGGGGTCTTCGGGGTCGCTGATCACGAATTCGAGGTCAGAATTGCGAAATTCATTTTGTAATATACTTAATTTACTTTATAACCTGAGTACCCAATCATGTTTTAACCTTCTTGAAGTGTAATTGATTAAATTTTTATAAACGAATTTTGTAAATCTGAGCTCGAATTCGTGATCAGTATACCAAATTTGGCGCGAATGTGTTATTTTTTGAAATTTTGGCCAGCCATCTTGGATACGCCATCTTGAATTTTGACCTCGGGTCCGTGATCAGCGACCCCGAAAACCCCCGTATAGCAAATTTGGCGCGAATATGTTATTTTTTGAAAATTCGTGATTTCTGACCTTAATTGATCCGTTTTTTTGAGGTTAGAAAAATAATTATCAATTCTGACCGCGCATACACGTTCGGCGGGGTCTTAACCAAATAAATAAAAATTTGATTACAGAAAAAAAATTTTTTGTATTTTTCCTAGCACTTTATCGTGAATATTTGCTATTTTTGACCTGTTTTTTGAAGTTAGGAAATTC